AGTTTTGCAGCTCCATCAGTATGGTGCAAAAGTGCTGGCAGTCATCAGTGATGGTGCCGGGAGCAACAAATCCGTGTGGACACACCTGGGTGTCAACGGCAAGCCTGAAGACCCCAAGTGCAAGATTGAACATCCTTGTCTTCCAGATGCATCCCTGCACTTCATTTGTGATGTTCCCCACATAATGAAGTGCATTATAAATCATCTGATGAAGCACAAGTATGCCCAGGTGAGCTAGGATAAAAAAAATCTCACCACTCTCTTTCTCAACCATACACTGTGCTGCCGTACTATGTTTTCTAAGTTGCCTCCCTTGAATTTATTTCAGATAGGAAACAACCAAGTAAGCTATGAGCATTATGTGCGGCTGTATGAGGCTGAAAAGAAAGCGAACATTCGAGTTGTTCCAAAACTCACCGAGTACCACGTTAAACCCCAGGCACTCCAGAAAATGAATGTCCGTTTAGCCACTCAGGTACTGTACTTCAATAATATTTTCTACCTGTCCCGCATACAAGGTCCCATTTCTTGTTAAGTAAGTTTCTGTTGAGTGCGTCATTTGCACATTATGGTTGTTTCCTTCCTTCGCAGCTCTTCAGCCGAAGTGTTGCTATTGGCTTGAAGGTGTACAGGCAGCTGAAAGTTCCTGGCTTCAGTGACAGTGCCAGAACTGAAGCATTTACGAAACTTCTGAATGGTGTTTTCGACATCCTCAATGCCAAGGTCCCAGCAGCTGGAATCAGACGAGACTCTCCCAAGATTAAGGTAAGCTATCTGGATCTCTGCACTTGCTACTTTTCAAATTAGCACTGAAGCTACATTGCCACAACAGTGTGGCTTCTAATTTTATTTTTATGCTTTTGAAGTACACTGTGACCAATGTTCTCATGAACTGCTTTGCAATTTTCATATGCTTGCAGGTCTTGGAAGACTTTTTGAAAATGATGAATGACACAGAATCAATCTGAAATTTGAAGCAGTTTGCATCCACCCAGACAATGGAATCTTTTCGTGTCACCCTCATGTCAGTGCTCTCTTTAATTGAGTTCCTACACAGCCGGGGTGTCAGTTACGTGCTTACAGCAAGATTGAATCAAGATCCCCTTGAGGTAATATAGCTTTTGTATATTGATACAGGGCACTATTAACACCATTTTTTTGCAGAGGTTCCTTGGACTTGTCAGATCATTTGGTGGAGACGAAGACCATCCTACCGTAACAAACTTCGGCTAGTTATTTCGCCTACTTTCGCTTTACACTCCAGTGAAATTGGCAGTGAAGGGAAACTGTGAGGGAGGCAATGACCAAGTTTTGCTTAGTGCATTCGACAGCCTTGGTGAAAAGCGCCGTGAGGCACTTCAGAAAAAAAAACGCAGTCAAGGAAGAGGTGTGGAAGCGACTGAAACGCATACCATTCAATGACTTGTGCAATCTCTCCGATGATCACACGTACAACGTGTTGTCGCCAGAAGAGACTGCACAGTATTATTTAACTCGCTGTGTCGCATTTAAAGTTAACAGAGCTGCAGATTGTGCTAATTGCAAGAAAGATCTCGTTGGTTCCCAGGATGCCCTTCCTGCAGAAGCACTGCTAATCATTGAGCGTGCTCACGTTTCTGGTTGCCTTGTATACCCATCATGAAAGTTATTTGCATGCATAAGTACCATTGAGAAGACAGTGAGTCAAGCAAGTGAACAAGCTACATTCGGTGATCTTTTTTGGAGGGTTCTTGATAGCCTTATTGAAAATGGCACCAACACAGTTGGCTGTTCACAACACTGCAGCGAATTCACTGATAAAGTGATCCATTTTTATTTAGTTACTCGAATGCATTTCTTTGCTCGCAAAAAGTGCCAAGAGAACGACTCCGCAGTCAAAACACAAAGAGAGAGAAAGAAGGCAAAACTTGTTAGAAATTGCACAGTTGTTAACTGAAGTGTGTAAATAAAGAAGATTGCATTTTGAATTTTATCACTTGATTGTCTCGTGTTCTTCACCTTAGTTGCATGCATGCGTGATATTTTTGTCTAATGTGGGAAACTGGCAGTAAAAATACCAGCGAGAAATAAATGCAAAGCATGAAAATACTAGTGAAGACGAGGAAACACGAATCCCGTCGCAGTGGCTAGGCGTTGCGCTGCTGAGCACGTGGACGCGGGTTCGATTCCCGGCCGCTTTTCTGATGGATGTGAAAAGCAAAAACACCCGTGTGTGCGAGATTTCGGCGCACGTTAAAGATCCCCAGGTGGTCAAAATTAATCCAGCGCCCTCCACTACGGCGCGTCTAAACGCCAGCGTTGCGTCGGCGCGTTAAACCTTGCAATCAATAAAAACACGAATGGATTCGGGTTAGGACATCTGATTGGCAACGAAAACATTTCCCTTCCTATCAAGGCCACGCGCGCGCTTTCAGTCAACCCAAACGAGGGCCGGGTATGCAGGGCGCAGTTAAAGCATAAGCTTGTGGCCTCGAATGTTCCGAATGCGTAGAAAATAATACAGCTGTGCGTTGCGACACGCATTAAGAACATCACACACCAGAGTGGAGCGCTTAAGATTTAAAACTGCAACGGGCGTAATAAAACCAGACGGCTTGCTAAGCCCGCTGCGCAAGCGCAACGTTGGAGCTAGCAGACGACGCTCGCAACGATAGCGCAATTCTCGACTGCAGCGCCGCGGTGTCAGGAACCGCAGCGGGCCGGCTGCGCTCAATGGCCGCGGCGGCGAGTTTCTAAACTGAAGTCGGAGCAGCACGCCTGTAGCGCCACCGTGCAGCGAGCGCGGGAAGCTGCCGAGTAAACATTTCTGCGCTGCATCGAGAAATGGCGCCGGTCAGTTGAGTGGCGATCTCCGACATGTCTGGACGCAGACTGGATGCGGCCCGACCTTACCTGTTTATCGGAATAATTGCTGACAACGTTCTGAACGTATCCTTGGACTTTTGGAACAACAATAGGCTTGGCGAACAACTCGGCGAACTTGCTAGCATAAATCTGGCGATCGTCGTCGTCCGAACTGCTAGCGTCAAGGCATTCGTCTGCGAGCTGCTGTAACAACAGCATTGACGTTTCCTCTGCCTTTATTAGCCGCCTCCTTTTTGACATGGTGTCCTTACGGCTTCGTAGACGCGAACTCGTCACGCAAATGCACGCCACGAACAACACCGGCGATGGCCCCTTCCAGAATGTGCGCTCGCGCTGTCACCTGCCGGTTATCAATAGCTTGTGTCACGTGATCCGTCCTCTCGGCCAGATCCCGCCACGCTCTCACTTCGACGTCAGAGCGGTCGGGAGCGCTCTAAGTCAGAGTTCGACGCTCCAAAAAAACCAACCGAAGGCAGTCCGAGCGCTCGAATTTCACCAACCAAAGGCGCGGCTGCTTTTCAGAGCGCTCGAAATACCCCATCCGAATACGCCATTACAGTGTTGCTGGTATCTATGCAACTCGTCTGACGGCGGAACACAATGGCCTTTGAGAAGGGCGCGTATAGCAAAAATCACAGAGGTTGTTACTGCAAACGCTGAGAACAATTTACTTTCATTTCATTTTACGGCGTCGCTTTGACCATGGTATCGTTTTAAAGGAAGGAATGAAACTAACTTTATTTTTGTCCTGCGCAACGCGACTTTGTATTGCCATTTGTATTTTATCAGCAGCTTGAATGAAGACGCGCCAGCCGAAGCGGATAATCTTCATCGTGTATAATTTATACTAAAAAATAAGCTTACTGATAACAGATGCAAAATTTGTATACAACTGTCAAAATGTGTGTGCTAGGGTACATTTGACTGTTATATGAATTCCTTTTTCTGAGCTTTTTCCACAATAAAAAAAACTTACCTTCGCACAGTAACCTGAGCATGTTGTCGGGCCTTGTTAGCTCAGGTATTCTCAACTTTCATTTCTATGACGAGGGTTCGGATACGGAGCATGGTGATCTGTTAGCGATCTCTGCCGTTATTTCTCTAGCTGGATCGCCGATAGGTGGTCCACATTATCAATCCAAAATCAGAAACATCGCGACTGTTTTTAGTAGGGTTGAGGAACTCTCGGCATGTGTCGCGTGTACTCGGCGCTTCGTGAGCCAGGTGGATGCGGCACTGTTTCGGCAAGGGCCGTTCACCCAAAACAGAAAAAAGGACCCGTTCTCTGGATGATGCGGGGTTGATGAGTGACATGAACTCTGGGATGCGGCGCACTCGGGTGCCAGCTCCCCTTTCTTTCTGACAACGGTAGTTGCAAACACGTCAGAAATCGAGCGACCGTGCTTCCACACTCAAAGATTGCCGAACCGCGCGAGCTGCGCTTTCACGAAACGGCCTTGCCTGCAGTGCGTGGTATGAAGACAAAACGAAGCGCTGTCAAATTAGGTTGTGTTACAAAACTATGGCAACCACAGTCTAAAATGACTAAATGCAATTATGTATTTTGTTGTTATACATACAAACCTGTCAACCGAGCTTGAGCATCTGGTTTACTGTATGGAATGTGAAAAATGTGGTCCGTCAGCGATTACGACTTTGAACTGAGGCGCATATGTTCTGTCGCGCACTTTCGAGAATGTGCTTCATAATAAAAAAAAAACTGCGCCCAACGTGGGGCTCGAACCCACGACCCTGAGATTAAGAGTCTCATGCTCTACCGACTGAGCTAGCCGGGCGACACACACGAACGGCGGATTATTGGGTACTTAAGCAAATCAAATTTCCTTTTTCCACGTTTGTATGTATAGTATTTGTAGATTTAGTGCATTGCTTGCAATACGAAGCGGGGGAAAAAAGAAAAAACCGCATTTATCCGGGCAGCTTTCCCACTTCGCGCCGTTGTTACTTTCACACCAAACGCAGAATGCTCTGCCACATACGACACAACTTACGTGACAAGCAACGCGAGTTGTAGCAGTAAGTGTAGTGGTTTGTTTTACTACGGTCTCTGGAAACATTCCATGGAGCGTAGTCTTACAGCAGATACGTCCGACACAAAGAGCAATCAGCGAAGATCAGGCTATCAAGCGTAGTTTAATATTTTACACTGAATAAATTATTCTCCGAGCCCTCGGTCACATCTGGAAACGGCCCTACCGTGCACTATATTACACACGTAGTCAAAGCATCACTGCAAGCAACACAGTGTCTTCGTTAGATGCGACGTGTACCCCGAGCCTGGAGAAAATTGTTAGTTCAGCTAGTCGGCTGGACTAAAAGGTGTGCGGTCATCTTCAACGCTGCGGTCACTCGCAGATGTCTCGAGGGAGAAATTTGACGCGCTCGTCGGCAACGGATCGTCCGCCGACACGGTTGAAAGATAGTCCGAGCAGCGAAATATTTCAGGCTCCTCGTAGCGCAGCTGCTTCTTGTACTGCGGAGCGGGTTTCTTGGCAAACAACGGAGACGGAAGACTCGAAAGGAACTTCATGACCGTGCTGCCACCAAAGGCGTTCTCTGCCTCAGTCACCTTCTCTTCCATCGCGTCCACGCTTTCGCGAACCACACCGACGAACTGCTCCAGGGCGTCGATTCGGTTGTACACTTGTTCCAAACCTTTGCTTTTCTCGCAGATGTCCGGAAGCGTGTGTGTCAAACAGAGAGTGTCATCGCTACGTACTGTATTGATGAGGCCGGTGAACTCGTCTAGCCGCGCCAGCAGCTCGTCGATGCCTTCATCCAATATGCGCTTGTCATTGCTAATGTCCACCTTAAAGAACTGACTGTAGTCAGCAGCCAGTTCCTCCAAGAGTTGACGAGTTTCGCCGTTTTCGGGTGACACACCGTCAACTGTGCAAGCTGCAGCGGCAGCCTCCATACTCACTCAGCAGGCTGTTGGGCCGGCTGTTGCGACGAGCGCCACGCAGGACGCAGGGGGCGTAACCAAAGTCGTGATGCTTTTTACACGTTCTGTTAGATGGCGGCACCTTCCCATCCGCTTGAGATAGCTTTGGTTACTTTGGCCATCTTTGTTTCTCGAAAGCGTACGGTATAAAACACGTGAGATCATTCGACACAAAACAGCTGGCTCCGGTTTCTTTTTCCTTGCGTTGTTTTGCGTTGCAGTCTCTCAGAGCGCTCGTGACAAACACGCATTATTGGTAATACTTATGAGGATATATAGACAATAAGAAACACGCTTCAACGTAGCGCCGCTGGTGTAGTGGTATCATGCAAGATTCCCATTCTTGCGACCCGGGTTCGATTCCCGGGCGGCGCACTGTTTTTTTCCTTTTAAACAAATGTGTGGTTCGTTTGTAGCGTTTATTATTTTAAAGACGGCGCTTACAATGCCTACTATGTGAACGGCCAGTTTTTTGTTTTATAATTATTTTTTTTTCTTTTTTCAGATCTTCGTAAAAAAAACGCTTAGTAATGTGAAAACTTAATGCCAGTTGGTGATGCGTGATGAACAATTAAGCGCCCTGGCAAGGGGGGTCTCCACCCTTCCCCATTTTCAATTTTACATGCGTACATACACGCGCAAATACAAGCGAAAATACGTAAGGAATATGCACGGTTGAACCCACCACTTAAAATTTCTGGCAGCGCCTCTGTACGAAAACGCATGCACCTACGAATAAGGTCGCTTGCAGGCACCAGCAAATATTGACGCGACCAGAAAATCATATCAGGGGTATCGTATCACGACTTCCCTCAAGGTATGTTAGCGTGCGTGTGTTCGTATCTGTGTGTATAAATGTTAAAACTTAAGGGGTGGGGAGGTGATGAACTTCGCCCCTTTAACAACGCCCCTATAAGACACAAAATATTGCTGACATCACAATCTCTAATGAGGCAAATTCATGCACTGTATTAAAAAACGTATTCTCAAACTTTTTTTTTCATCCAGACATGTCTCTACCAAACGTATTTCTTTCTATGTTTTAATGAAACTGGCCTGGGTCTAGACAGTTTCAATCAAACTGGCCTGGATCTAGAGAGATTTCGCATCGTTCAACAGGAGGGAATAAAGCCTAAATTAAGGTTATTAGACACGCACCACGTTCTAAAGTAAACAGACAAGTAGTATTAAAGTGTCATCTCCAATTCGACCCATCGGTTGAAACTTCACACATCAGGAGCGCAATGTGCGACACGGCCGCGACAGCGATTCGATTAGAAGTCGCGAGTTCACAGAAGCAAACAGATGGTAGTAGACAAAGTAATCACACCTGGAAAAGTAATCGTGCTGACGTTCTCTGTTGACCTTCTCTTCTGCTGCCCCAACGGAATGTATCCCAACACAAACACTTTTACCTGCTCGCGAACGTGTTCACTTTGCTATGTGGTTTCGAATTCCGACAGAGTGAACTACAGACATGGGCATGGATGTACTATGAAATGGAGTCGGGCGCAACCGCTGGAAAGACTAGCGCTGCCATCGGCGTGATGATCATGGCACCAGAGCTGACAAAGCGAAGTAGAGGCATACATAACGATTAAAAAAAAAAAAAGCTACTTGTTTAGTTATGGGCGCTTGTGCTGAGTGTTTCTTTCCTTCTCTCCCTCATCTCAGGCCATTTCCGACTTCTAAAAAGACTCGTGAGAGCAAGCCTTGTGAGCTCGGGATGGCTGTCGCCTCCAATCACAGTTTCGCAAAGTCACGTACGCAGCGCACATTATAGAAACAGGCGTGCACAGGACTAACCATCACACGGAGGGGGTGGGGGGAGAGGTTTTCCATAGCGTCCCCCCTCCCTTATAGACAGAGTTTAGGCCCCCATCCCTTCGGATTATGTAAAAGTATGGGGTGGATTTTGTGCCCCACTATGATGACTAGGGTAGGCAGCCTCCCCCCCTCCCCCCTGCTCCCTTCGTGCGCCCACTTATGCACATAGCCCTATCGAATCAGCCGGTTTTAAATGTGCAACATTTTCAAGGGGCAAAGCACCTTAAGCCGTGGGTCTGTACTAGTGGTGTAGCCAAGAGAGGGGGGTTCGAACCCCCCACCCCCGCAAATTTTTCGTTCAACACCCCCACCCAGCCACTTATTCAACGTTTTTTTTTTTTTTTTTTTGTCTTTTCGTGCTGACATGATATAGAAACCAAGCGCTGCTACTATCACAATATAATTGCTGGGCGCTTTTACAATGAATAACGTCTGCATACGGAAAAACGTGTCACGGTGTTTCTCAAGACTTAAAACACTGTGAGATTTTGGACAGGAATCTCGGCGGCGAGTGTTTTAAGTTGGCTCGGCGACGGGATTAATGCTCAAGCGGTGGTCATACTTGGGCCCGCCGGAACAGACCTCGCCGGAGTCGATTACATACGACAATTTTCAATAGGCAGAGGCTCGTTTTAATAGAAATATATCCAGACACAGTTCAATGTCTGATAGGCCACGTTCAAGCATATTACTCTGTGACTGTTCGTACGTGTGCTAAGATGCCAGGGAATGTTCTGCTAACATCTAAACACGCACGCACACGTGCACGACAGAATATTCAGTTTATACACCTAACTCAACTAGTATAGTGTACAATATATTTATACATATATTTATTATGCCCTACACTCTTAGGAAAAAGGTGGTAGTACTTGCTAACTTTGGGGTAGTAATGGTTTGTCACATATGCCACAACCCTGGTAGTAAGCGCAGTTAGTAACGGTGAGGGTGGTAACAGTCACTACCTCTGCTGTTACTACCAGCAATTAGTAACTGTTACTACCCTAGCCGTTACCACCCATTGGTAGTAACTTTTAATGGTTTAAAGAAAAAAAAGTAGTAACCGATACTAAGCAGGTCATGCATTTTGGCATATTATTTCTCCACTATTAATATTGCCCAATCAATGTCTTACAACTAGACAAATTCGCTTAAGAAGCGGGGTGTGCCATGATCGCGAAGAATGCATAGACCAAATAAGTTCACTATTTTTTACGCTCGCTCGCTCTACGGCGCGCCGATGCTGACGATTTCAACACTTGCTCAACTTAGGCGCAAACGAGCTCAACTTTTAATTTTCGCTTATAGACTCCGCATCTGTTCGTTACGGCTAGGTGATTTCGCACGCCAGCAAGCGATCACGCCGAAACATGGTGACAGTACAAGCACCATGGATGTTGTGCCAAACGAGGTTGTGCTGCCCATCTTGGCATTAATGGATGGCGCGAGTCTCATCAGGTGCAAGTGGGTGTGCAAGCGGTGGCTGGCTCAGGTGTACTGAAACCATGCCAATGGGAGAATCATATGCAATTCAGAAATCCACCATGACGTTCTGTATGAACTGCTCGATGATTCATGTCCAAAGGATGAATCTCGACCTGTGCAGGTTTGATTGATATGTGGGGTTTAACGTCCCAAAACCACTATATGATTATGAGAGACGCCGTAGTGGAGGGCTCCGGAAATTTAGACCACCTGGGGTTCTTTAACGTGCACCCAAATCTGAGAACACTGGCCTACAACATTTCCGCCACCATCGGAAATGCAGCCGTCGCAGCCGGGATTCGAACCCACGCCCTGCGGGTCAGCAGCCGAGTACCTTAGCCACTAGACCACCGCGGCGGGGCGACCTGTGCAGGTTGACTGGTTATGTGTATATAAGTGTTTGTACAGCACAAGGGTTGTTTCAAAGCTTGTTTATCACATTCGCAACCTGAGACCTTTCAAAGAACAAGTGACGTGCCTCAAGACATCAGGGGATGTAATTGTGAGTGGCCACACGTCAAGAGTCGTATCTGTTTGGAATGCTTGGAACGGCTGGCCGATTAACCTCATTGAAACACGTGCAGATTCAATCCGGGATCTCACATTGTTCAGTGTTCGTGGCCCTGCTACACGGTGACCATGCAGCATCAGCGCCCCGGAGAGCTAGCGAAGTTCACTATTTTTTACGTATGCATCTAGTAATAAGTAAGCGTGGGGTATATATAGCCCCTACTTTGCAGGGGCAAGTCGGGCACAAGTGAGCACTTGCGTTTCAAGATGAATTATAACAAGTTTGAACCTAAAGCACTATATTTTACTACCTGGTTACGTGTGTTTGGTGACGTAGCACAAGACTTTTAATTGGACATGCTTATAAAAAATTATATATCATATTTATTTATTATAAAATGACCACAAAAAGGCATTATGTACAGTGGCCGGAGCAATGTACCGAACTCATTCCTAGTGCATCTGCATGCTTCACACGACTCATATAACTGCGTTTAAAAGGTAATAACCGTTTTAGTGATTTGGTGCGCCAAAACAATGATAATATTTGGAGACGCACCGCAGTGGATTACCTGTGACTATCCTCGAGGCTAATTGTGACCATCTGGTTATTTTGATCTGCCGGTCTTGTTAATATGTGCTGTAATTTACCAAGTTTGTTGTGATTGTCTATTACGATACGTGTGGCACTTGCTTATGCATGGTTCGTTAACTTGTACTTCTTCGTTGCGACAACATCAGAATGACGTTTACATATCTCGGTTGCGTAATTTAAAACAAAATGTATTTTCTTGATCTATGGGCACCTTCTGCGTCATTTTTCTGTGTAATGATTATACGTTGAGACGATTCCTCTCATAAATTATCACAATCGCATTCACACACTATATTAGAATAGATAGTCAAAAGCCGTGAGTAGCAAAAAGGTAGTAACGGGGAAAAAAGGTAGTAACGGCTGCAGTTACTACATCTTTCATTTCAGTTACTAACTGTTTACTAACGTAGGTAGTAAATAGGTCGCAAAGAGTTAGTAACGGTTGCAGGTAGTAACTGTTTACTAACGTAGGTAGTAAACAGGTAGCAAAATGGTAGTAACGGCCGAAGAAAGGTAGTAACCACTGCAGTTACTAACTATTTGCCTGCAGTTGCTACCTTTTTACTAACTTCTTTTTAAGAGTGTAACCTCTAAGGCACTCCGAAGT